TGCCATCCTGGCTCATCAGGGTGGGGTGGGGGGGTGGGGGTACGCTTTCTTTAACCTTCCTTTTATGGCTGACATGCCTGTAGAAGCCCTTCTTGTAATTTTTACCATCCCTTGCCAAGTTCAGCTCCAGCTGCACTTTAGCCCTCCTGACCTCATCCCTACACAACTGGGCAGCTTCCCCGTACTCTTCCCAAGATACCTGTCCCTGCTTTCACTGCTTGTGCAGTTCCCTCTTGCCCTCTAGTTTGACCAGCAGGTCTCAGCTCAGCCATGCCTGTCTCTTCCCTTCCTTGCCTGACTTCTTACACCTGGGGACTGAGAGCGCTTGCACTCTAAGGAAAGCATCCTTAAAGGTCTGCCAGCTCTGTTCTGCCCCCCTGCCCCTGAGGACCGTTTCCCAGGGGGTCCTACTGACTAACTCCTTGAAGATCTGGACGTTGGCTTTCCTGAAATTTAGGGTCCTGACTATACTCCTCACCATTCCCACATCTCTCAGGGCTGTCAACTCCACCAATAGGTGATCACTGCAGCCCAGGCTGCCTCCAGTCTTGATGCCACTGATGAGCTCACTTGCATTGGTGAGCATCAGGTCCAGTATTGCATCCCCTTGGGCAGGGTTGCCAATCACCTGGCTTAAGAAGTTATCCTCAATGCATTCTAGGAATCTCCTGGATTACCTTACAGTAGTTCTGTCTAGATTCTGTAGCCAGATTGACAGATGGAATGCAACACACCCAAAAATTCCACTTGAGGAACTCTACAGTCCAGCCAATGAGATGACAGGGGCAACATCAGCTTTTCTCACTTGCATCTACTTAAAGGTCATGCCCTGCTTCCTGGTGTAGGCCCAAGGCTAGAAGTAAAGCTCTGGTATACTCCTAGTTGATCTGCTGTAACAAGATATTCTAAGGTCTGTTTCAGTTCAGAGCAAGCTCCGAGTTGAAGTACAGACTATGTGGTGCTGGGTCCAAATTCAATCCTCATCCGATTTTAGAACAAGCTTAGCATTTAAAATTAAGATTTCTTTTGGTGAAATCCTAGTTATTTTCAATAATTTTTGAAAAATATACCTTGAGTACCTCAAGTCCTTCTTTATCCATTTTTTAGCCAGGCACTGTTTACCAATTTGCTTTATACTAGTCTTCTAGAACCTTATATATCTTCTATGAATTCTCCAAGGTAATTCCTAATAGCTCTGAAATTGCCTAAGCCAGTTTTTCCCATCACTCTAAGGAGGCATTTCATCATACTTGTGAAAATACCTAACTATATCTAGCCTGCTTTCTGTATTCTTGCCTTCATCACTGATTGCTATTGTTTTAACTTATTGTAAGGCAGAGCTACTTTTTCTATCGGATATGGAACAGAGTTTTCAGCCATGCAGAAAACCAGGAGGTACTCTTCTTATGAACCACCACAATGTGCATTTTGAGCTTTTTTCCTTCTCTTCTGTAAGCAGACAATCTATTTGACACGTGATCACACAGATGAAGGGCAGAGCCATTATGGAGGGACATTAAAGCAATTACAACCTCTGCTGGGCTTCCCCATCTCCCATGCCGTTTACTTCATCCTCCAAAGTGCTTCAAGACAGCTGTTAATTTGTAATCCATCTTCAACACATCTTAATATCAAATACAATAATCAAGAACCACAGCTGATAAATACCAGTGCACTTGTCATTGCTACACAAGTTCAACTATAAGGACTTCAAAATACAGGAAAGAGAATACTAAAGAAAAAAAGGTTATCAAGGCTGATCAGAAGATCTTAAGAGATCTCAAAATTGTAGGACCCTATTTCTTCCCTTACTGCAAGAAATAAGTTGCTTTTTAATCTTGTTTTACAGGGCATCCAGACGTGCTCTTCACAACTGAGAAGCATCTGGCAAACATAAAGCCAAAGGAAAAACAACGGAAAGAGAAGGTTCAACAAATGTTTGGGACAAATAAGCAATGACTCACATGAGGGACCTGACAATAATGGTAAGAAACAAAACAAAAGAAGTGGGCAGAGCTTTAATGGCCTAATCAATAGACAGAGAAGATATTTTATGAAGGAGAACTAAATAGCAAGAAAAACACGCGGAGACTGGATGTTGGCAAGGAGATGAAGACGTACCAGTGACAAAATGCAAACAATGAATACTGTTGCAAAAAATACCAAAGCTGCTGCTTGTCTTGGATACTCCCTGTTTCAGTACATTTCCGCATTTACAGAAGCTACAGTCTTCAGCAGCCTTACTTTTATGAACTGGAGGAATATTTTTTCTTGAACGCAACTATTTAAGAGCCTCCATGTACAAAACCTCCTATATTTAGTTATGCACTAAGTGTCCTTCCAGGGAAAACCCCCCTTTGATTTCTCCAATCTCAATGTGATCTCTGCACTACTGTTATTTCAGCTGCCAAGAATCCTAAGTATCTACAATAAGAAACTGCTTTCCAACACACCTCATAAAGCAACTCAAAGTAAACAACCCACGTAATCAAAACACTGTATACCTTCTACAAAGCTGGCATACAGAATGGGTTGAATAAGGGTAGGTGCTTCAAGATTACATCTAGAACTGTAAAAGGAGAGATGCTCAGAAAATGGCTCAAGTACTAGGTCCAATCTATACCAATTAACTCCTAATTCTGTCCTTAGCTTGCTTGTGAGTTACTCCATCTAACTTCCTCCCACACAAATCTACCAATTAGTGTGAAAATGGTTCAAGTCAACTGGACCCAGCAAATGTTTATCCTATCATGTTCAGAAGTTGTCCTAAAGCACCCTACAACTGAACTCTGCTAAGGTTCTCCTTGCTTTATTTTTTGCCTTTGCAGATACCTCTCTTTGAAGACTAAGTAGCCACAACTAATCATTCCTTCTGCTACTGAAATACCCAACATGGTTTCAACCAAGGGGACAGTGTAAGTAGACTGCAAGAATAAAGAAGGAAAATAAATACCACTCAAAAAACTACAATTTGTTCTTGTCTTGATAAACAAAAGGTCTGCTTGAAAACAACAGTTCCAAAAGCTTTTTAATGCTTCATTTTTCATATCACCTATGATAATACCTATCAGGTTTCCAAAAGGACTTGACATAATATAGTTGACTGGGAGCAAAATACGCATATATAAACCAAAACCTGGTCCACAAATATGTATCATACAAATACATGTAAACTCTTGTAGTATAATGCAAAACTAAGTACTAGCAAGCTTTATGAAATACATAGGCACACACAGAGCATATAGTATGCCATATTCTTCCACCACAAGCTGACCCAAAATTTTACCTTACAAATCACAAATAGGAAAAAAAAATCCAGAATGTACATTTCTGAAGAAATAAATACCCATCTAAACCCCTTCACTGTAACTTGGCAAGAAAACCTACAGAACTCTTCAGAATAAAATGCTTTTTGCTAACACTGGTTAGTCTCCCTGGGTTCTAGAACATCTCTGACAAGGGAACACTTGCTCTCTGAAGTACTTCATGAAAAATAGGTCCATGAAAGCAGTTGCTCGACCTTCCCTTCCTCTTTGCTCAGTTGCAGGCAAGGTGGGAAAAACAAGTTACTGCTTCTGCCAAAATCACAGCCAAAGTAGCTCAGTTGCATGGCAGCTGGCTCGCAGACCATATTTTCGCCTGTTGTGACACCTTAGAAGTTTGAATATGATACTTGCCAGCAAAACAAAACACAATAAAAAAACATGGAAAGCTAGGATTTTTGGAGTAATATCCCCAAACTGGGGACTAACTTCCGCTAGATACCTACCCACTACCTCAGCAAGACTCTAATACACAAAAGACCTTAAAACAGCTTAAAAAACCTCTAACTAATAAATGACTTGCATTTGGATCTTGTTACCGTGCAGCTCTTCCTACAAGAATGTCAGGACAAATACGTAGATTTAACTTATTTAAAACTGCAACTGTCGCTACCTTTTCAGTTCCCCTCATATTCACTTTACTGCTACTGAGCTATAGCATGGAGCTCCAATACATGTTTCTACAAATATATTAGCAACAAAAGGAGGGCTAAGGAGAATCTCCATCCTTTACTGGATGTGGGGGGAAACATAGTAACAAAGGATGAGGAAAAGGCTGAGGTACTTAAGGCCTTCTTTGGTTCAGTTTTTAATAGTAAGACCAGTTGCTCTCGGGGTCCTCAGCCTCCTGAGGCAGAAGACAGTGACAGGGAGCAGAAGGAAATCCCCAAAGGCCAAGGGGACATGGTCAGTGACCTGCTACACCACATAGACACACATAAGTCTATGGGGCTGGATGGGATCCACCCAAGGGTACTGAGGGTGCTGGCAGAGTGCTCACCAAGCCGCTTTCCATCATCTGTCAGCAGTCCTGGCTAACCAGGGAGGTCCCAGGTGACTGGAGGTTAGCAGATCTGATACCCGTCTACAGGAAGGGCTCGACGGAGGATCTGGGGAGCTACAGGCCTGTCAGCCTGACCTCAGTGTCAGGGAAGGTTATAGAGCAGATCATCCTGAGTGCCGTCACAAGGCATGTACAGGACAACCAGGTGATTAGGCCCAGCCAGCATGGGTTCATGACAGGTAGGTCCTGCTTGGCTAACCCAATCTCCTTCTATGACAAGGTGACTCACTTAGCAGATGAGGAAAAGGCTGTCCACGTTGTTTACCTGGACATTAGTAAAGCCTTTGACACTGTTCCCCACAGCATTCTCCTAGAGAAACTGACTGCTCACGGACATATGCTTTGCTGGGTAAAAAAATGCCTGGATGACCAGGCCCAAAGAGATGTGGCGAACGGAGTTAAATCCAGCTGGTGGCCAGTCACAAGTGGTGTTCCCAAGAGCTCAGTTTTGGGTCCAGTTCAGTTTAGTATCTTTATCAATGATCTGGATGAGTGGCTCAAGTGCACCCTCAGTAAGTTTGCAGACAACACCAAGTTGCGCAGGAGTGTCGATCTGTTTGAGGGTAGGAAGGCTCTGCAGAGGGATCTGGACAGGCTGGATCGATGGGCCGAGGCCAACTGTATGAGGTTCAACAAGTCCAAGTGCCGGGTCCTGCACTTGGGTCACAACAACACCATGCAACGCGACAGGCTTGGGGAGGAGTGGCTGGAAAGCTGCTCGGTGGAAAAGGATCTTGGGGTGTTGGTTGACAGCCGGCTGAACATGAGCCAGCAGTGTGCCCAGGTGGCCAAGAAGGCCAACACCATCCTGGCTTGT